TGTGCTTGCTATCCTTACTTAAGACCCTACAACAGACACAAAATTGATTTTAGATCAGCCAAATGCATCTTCATAGGATATAGTCCTAAACATAAAGGTTATAAGTGCCTAAGTCCAACTGGTCAAGTCATAATAGCTAGACATGTTCTATTTGATGAGTCTATTTTTCCCTACAAAGAGTCATCGAATTCTATAGATCCCATATCAATTTCTTCATCTTCACCACCTCATACTATTCCTTTTGTTACTGTTTCTCTTCATCAAACACATATATTTCCTAATTCTCCTATACTGAGTGTTCCTACTGCTGATTTTTCTGTTAGTGCCACTAACTCTACTTGCAGGTCCTCTATTCCCATTAATACTGCATGCAGGTCCATTTCCACTGAAACAAATAGTCATCCACCAAATACAGTCCCACTGATCAACACTCATAATATGACTACTAGAGCTAAAGCTGGTATATTCAAACCTAAAGCTCTCACAACCTCTTTGGAACCTAATTCTGTATCTCAAGCTCTAACTCAGCCACACTGGCTTCAAGCTATGAAAGAAGAATATGAAGCTCTTCTCAGAAATAACACTTGGCAACTAGTCTCTCTCCCTCCTAACAGATTACCTATTGGCTGCAAATGGGTATTTCGTACCAAGTTCAAACCTAATGGCACTGTTTTGAAATATAAAGCTCGACTTGTGGCTAAGGGTTTCCACCAACAAGAAGGCTTTGATTACCAAGAAACTTTCAGTCCGGTTGTTAAATCAGTAACAATCCGGATTGTACTTACTATTGCTCTATCTAAAGGATGGCCAATTCACCAACTTGATGTGAATATTGCATTCCTGAACGAGGATCTTCAGGAAGAAGTGTTCATGCAACAGCCACCTAGCTTTATTCATCATGACAAGATTCTTGTGTGCAAGCTCACTAAAGCCCTCTATGGTCTTAAACAGGCACCACGTGCCTGGTTTGAAAAACTCAGCACTAATCTTCATCATCTTGGGTTTACTACAGCCAAATATGACTCCTCTCTGTTCATTTCCATAACTCAGAACACTATTCTATTTGTTCTGGTTTATGTGGATGATATTCTTATCACTGGCTCTTCCTCTTCAGCTATCAGATCATTAATTCACTCTCTAAACAGTACTTTTACTCTCAAAGATCTTGGACAACTACACTACTTCTTAGGAATTGAAGCTCACAAAACAAAATTGGGTGGCTATCATCTCAATCAATCTAAGTACATCTCAGACCTCTTGAAGAAAGCTAACATGGTTGACTGCAAGTCTATGCCTTCACCTATGACATCCAGTCCTAAACTGTCATCTCATGATGGATCCCCACACCCTGATCCAGCTCAATATCACTCTATTGTTGGAGCTCTTTAGTATGCTACTATTACAAGACCAGACATAGCCTATAGTGTCAACAAAGTGTGTCAGTTCATGCACAACCCATTAAACACACACTGGAAAACAGTAAAACGTATATTACGTTACCTCGGTGGTACGGTGACTCATGGCTTAATAGTGGAACCCTCAAATAATTTTCATCTTACTGCATATTGTGACTTGGATTGGGGCTCAGATCCAGATGATCGCCGCTCCACAAGTGGTTTTTGCATTTTCTTTGGATCTAATCTGGTCACCTGGTCTTCAAAGAAACAACATGTGGTTAGTCGCTCAAGTACAGAGGCAGAGTACAGATGTCTTGCAGCCACCGTTGCTGAAATAACTTGGATCCAATCTCTACTTTCTGAGCTTCATATCAAAGTACCAAACCCACCTGTCATCTACTGTGATAATCTTTCTGCCGTGCTTCTTACTGCAAACCCCATCTTTCACTCACGCACCAAACACTTTGAGCTGGATCTCCATTTCGTTAGAGAGAAGGTTGTCTCAAAACGTGTCTCAGTTCACCATGTCTCAGCGTTGGAGCAAGCTTGCGGGGGGAAGTTAGCCATAGAGGCTCAATGAGTTCAGCCCAATGAATTCAGTTGTAGATCTGATTCTGTTATTCAGCTATAACAAACTTCAATTACACATCACAGTGTATATATAAGACAATAGCTTTACTGTAACAATTTAATTTATTCATTATGCAATAAACACTTTCACAATTCTCTCTTTTCTTTCATCTCTTTCATCATAGCTTTGATACCTTACAAAAAGAACTGCTATCTTACAAGAAAGAGGTGTATACCAAATCTGATTCACCACGGGACAACAAGTTAAACCACTTGCGTCGTAGTTTGGTTTTGGCAAATCAGTTATTTCATAAAATATTGTCTGGGCTTCACGACACTTTTTAAATTTAATTTGTGAAAAATATAGGAGAATGCTATATAGTTACTATTTTATACCTATGATCACATGATGGTAGCTCAGTTAGCATTAGGAAATTGAGTATGTGGGGGTAAGAGTATGTGTTCGATTCTTCTTAGTACTATTTTTGGATGAGGTTTAAAGCCTTAATCGAGAGACCCGCTCCGAATTAGACTAGTCTTGAAACAATGAATTGATTAGAATATTTAAAAAAAAAACTATTTCATAGCTAACTTTCATTTGAATCTTAGCGTCTCTTCATAGCTCTTTATATATTATTTACATGACACCTAATCTTAAAACATGCCATAACTACATAACGTAAAAAAATAAAATACAATTATACATTTAATTCAAATACTTTCCAAGATTTTAGTTAATTTTTACGTTTTTTTTTAATATTCTATTTGATTCATCGTTTTGCAACTAGTTTGATTTGAGGCGTATCTAAGATTAAGACTTTAAATTTATTCCAAATATAATATTGAAGAAAACTTTTACCTTTTTAAAACAGATGATATCATTGACATATATTGTTTTGCGTCAAACGTGAGAGAGAATCACAACTGTATTCTAAGACGCAGAGCCACAGGGGTTATTGTGGCGAATAAACAAAGTAGAGAAGGTTGCAAATTGCAATTGCATTTGAAATTTTCAAACTGAGTTTAATTGCTTACTTGTACATGCAGTGCACCACTACACGTTTTGGTGAACAAGAGGGTACGTTCCTGAGCTTCCAGCTACTTCTTATGTGCACCACTAAACAATAAAAAAGGAAAGATCCGTTGGTTTGTCAAATTAATGATCCAAATTTCATTCCTATCCATCAATATTGATTTAAAAAATAAAGATTAACGAAGATACCGAACTCATAAATAGAAGATTTGAAGAATAAGATATGATACGATTCACCGGTAGTTTACGGACGTTTAAGTTTTAGGTAAATTTTTAAAATTATAAATTGAAAGAAATAATATTTAAGATTATAATAGATGTATGCAGAATTGATTCTGGTAGATTTTTTTCAAAATAAATTGAAAGAGAAATCCTAAAACTATAATAGAAGACATTGCATAATAATTTTAAAAAAGAGATGTTAATAATGACAAGCACCATTTTTAAAGGAGAGTAAACTAAAATATTAAGGCATTCTCAAAAGAGTATATTTTAATTTAATATAGAAAGTGAAGTAGCTCAAATGTGGTGAGGAACAATAAATTTAAAATAAAATTAAGAATAATTATTTTGAGAATATAAGCAACTGATGTTTAATAAAAAATAATAAATTTTAATAAAAATAATAATATGAAAGTAACTAATAATTTAAGAACTTTTAAAAATGTAAAATCGTGTATTTTAAAATGAAAGAGAGTGTAAAAAGAAATTATAATTTAATGTAATTATATCCGAGTGGATGGGTAAAAAGGAAAAAAAATTGTTTTTTTTAATCTAATTTTAGTGTGATTTTTTTGAACAATTCTCTTCAAGTTACTAAATAAGAATATATTCACTGTTAGTTAAATTTAAAATATATCATAGTCTTAGCTTACATGAATTTAAAGATTGTTACACTTTTATATATTCACTTTAAAAATATTTCAGTTGAAATCTTTTTTAATTTTTATTCTGTAATATTATCATGCAAAGCATGTGACTATATTACATGAAACTAAAAAAAAACTATGAGACTAATTAATAAATAAAATATTTTTTCTTATTTGAAATTCATCATGCAAATCTGAAATTCAATGCAGATTTGAAGATTAAATAAATTTGTGTAAATATGTTTAAAGGGGAAGGTTAATAAATAAAAACGTAAAGATCTATCACAAAGATAAAAATTAAACTTTTGTTTTGAACAAATACTTATAAACCAGGTATTGAATCTATTGATAGCGATCAAGAGAGATAAAGGAGAATAAACATAGCTCAAAATATGAGGTGTATTGTTGAATGTATTCTCTAATGTTGAATTTTAATATGATGAGATCATGAGATTAAACTCATGATTTTAAAACGGAGTAATAACTAATAATTAATTCGAATTATTTTTTTGTTTTGTTTTATGAGCTCTGTCTTTAAAATTCAACATTAGAGAATAAGTACAAGATATTTTTCTCATATTTGGAGACAATTTGAAAAATAAAACAACCTAGAGACAACCGAGTGCGCAACTCTTTTATGTAATAAGAAATAAGTCATCTTATATTATACGACAAATAAAATAGAATCTATCAATTTTATTTAAAAAAACAAAAACAAAAAAAGACATATCTTTTTATGTTATTGTAATATCATATATGAATCTCATACAATATACTAGAGTATAATTTCTCTTTGGGTGAATCTCAAAACGCACGGAATTCAATTAAAACTAAAATTGCTTTCCTCCAATTAACGATGCCAGGTGGTAACTTGCTTATGTGAAATAGAAATAGTTGTTGCAAGTTGCAACTTTCAGGTCGATCATTACGTGATTGAGTTAATCATTGAAAACATAAAAAAAATATCAAAACGATTAACAATGCCAATAAATTTTAAAAAAGAAAAAGAAAAAGAAATAAAAAAGTTAGAGAAAATAGCAAACGAGTTAATGGCGGTATATACTTTCCCTTATAAAAGCATCTCTCAATTTAAGCCAAATGCGAATTATTTGTCAACACACATAATAATACAACACAAAACACAAAACACAAAACACAAACACAAACACAAACACACCCTCTCAGATAAAAAAACCTCAAACGAATCAAAACCACACCCTTCTTCTGTCCAAAACAATTTTACCTTCAATGGAGGCCTATCACTAGAAAGCCCCTCCTTTTTTGTTATTGTTGTTGTTGTTTTTGAACAAAGGACAAAACTTTGAGCTCCGAATTCCAAAATTTATTGGCCAATCCATGGCGGACGTTGTTTCCAAGAAGGTAAACACGAACCCCATTAGCAGCAACAAGAAGGAGACACCAAATCTGATACTGGGTCGCTATGAGATTGGGAAGCTCCTTGGCCATGGAACCTTCGCGAAGGTTTACCATGCGAGGAACATCAAAACCGGTGAAGGGGTGGCCATAAAGGTGATCGACAAGGAGAAGATCCTAAAGGGTGGGTTGGTGGCACATATCAAGCGCGAGATCTCGATCCTCCGGCGTGTTCGCCACCCCAACATCGTGCAACTCTTCGAAGTTATGGCCACCAAGACCAAGATCTACTTTGTAATGGAATACGTTCGTGGGGGTGAGCTTTTCAACAAGGTTGCAAAAGGGAGGTTGAAGGAGGAGGTTGCAAGGAAGTACTTTCAGCAGTTGATCTCTGCTGTTGAGTTTTGTCACGCTAGAGGGGTGTTCCATAGGGATCTCAAGCCTGAAAATTTGTTGCTTGATGAGAATGGTAACCTCAAAGTTTCTGATTTTGGGTTGAGTGCGGTGTCTGATCAAATCAGGCAAGATGGGTTGTTCCACACGTTTTGTGGGACTCCTGCTTATGTTGCTCCTGAGGTTTTGGCAAGGAAAGGTTATGATGGTGCAAAGGTTGATCTTTGGTCTTGTGGGGTTGTCTTGTTTGTGTTGATGGCAGGGTATTTGCCATTCCATGACCAGAATGTCATGGCAATGTATAAGAAGATTTACAGAGGTGAATTCAGGTGCCCTAGGTGGTTCTCACCTGACCTCTCTAGGCTCCTCACTAGGCTTCTTGATACCAAGCCCGAGACACGGATGGCTATCCCTGAGATTATGGAGAATAGGTGGTTCAAGAAAGGGTTCAAACAAATTAAGTTTTATGTTGAGGATGATAGGGTTTGTAATGTTGATGATAACCTGTTGGACAATGAAGATGATGCAGCATCCATTGCATCCCTTTCAGATTACTCAGTATCAGAATCTGACTCTGAGGTAGAGATTAGAAGGAGGAATGCTCCATTGCCAAGACCAGCAAGTTTGAATGCTTTTGACATTATATCATTCTCTCCGGGTTTTGATCTTTCTGGATTGTTTGAGGAAAAAGGGGATGAGGCCAGGTTTGTGACTGCAGCCCCAGTTTCCAAGATCATATCAAAATTGGAGGAAATTGGTCACCTGGTTAGATTTAGTGTAAGGAAAAAAGATTGCAGGGTCAGCTTGGAGGGTACTAGAGAAGGTGTAAAAGGGCCGTTGACAATTGCTGCAGAGATATTTGAATTGACACCTTCTTTGGTTGTGGTTGAGGTGAAGAAAAAAGGAGGGGATAGAGCAGAGTATGAGAGATTTTGTAACGATGAATTGAAACCTGGGCTGCTGAATTTGATGAAGGATGAATCTGCAACTTCTTCTGGCTTGCAGACACCTACTGAGCCTTCCCTAATACGTGTGCTTTCTGAACCTGGGCACAGCATAGCTTCGGATATTGAATCTTCACTCTATGAACCTGCAGATATTGAACCTCCACTCTTTACAGTTACACCTTCTGAGATTTGAAGAGTGAGATAGAGTAGAGAAAAGGGTATGTCTTTTGTTTCTTTTATTTATAGATTGTGTATGGTAATTCGTAATTCCCCCCCCCCCCCCCCCCCCCCCCCCCGGATTGTCCTGCTTTTAGGGTTGCTCCTTGACTGGAGCATTATATGCTACTACTGTATTTTAATGTCATTTTGCTATACCAAGAAGGCTAATTCAACGGAGTATATATTTCTACATTTCTTTTGCTCTTTATAGCGAGTAATGAGAAAATAGCCAAACAGTTTACTGCTAATCCATGAAACATTGCACTAGCTTTGGCTTGAGTGCTACATATATCTATGAAATGAATCAATTTGAAATTGGAATCGTTTGGTTATTTTGTTTACTCTGAATAGTAAAATTCAGAAATATAATAAAGAATGATTTAAAAATATATAATATCATAATAGTTATCTGTACCTAGTCTGAACGTTTTTCAAGTTATTCTTTGTTTTCCCGAACGTTTGAAACTGAAAGTCTCTGTTCTAGTATTTTCAAGTCTTTATTCCTGAATAATCTGAGGTTTGAAAGTTCTAAGTTCTTAGGTGGTGTTTGGTTGAGGTGAAATTTCTTTTGCTAGGGAAATGCAAATATTAGGGATCTGCGGGGAAAATGAGTTAGATAGGAAAGTTTTAAAAAAGTTGTTTGGTTGGGCAAAATTTTACCAGAAAAGTTGAATAAAATTCCTGAATATGTGTTTGGTTGAAGATAAAATATTGATGGGAAAATAACCATTTTGTACCACAAACCAAAATTTAGCCGGTTTTCTCATAGAAATACCACCGAATCGGAGGGCATCTCAACAGTGTTTTAACCAGTTTTCCTCGATTGCTAGACAAAGTGGATTGACGGACAAAACTACCGAATGCTTCAACCAAACGTGGGTTCATGACATTCCCACATGCAGATCGCTAGGAAAATTTTCGGTTCTCCCGAAACAAACACAACCTTAGTGTTTTCTTTTCTTATCATGTTAATTTGAATGACTTTTCATATTCATATTAATTTGAATTTTGAAACACTTTTGAACAAGATTGAGTTGGATTCTTCATAGTCGTTTCCATTTCTAAATTTTGAATAGTTGTGTGATACTAACAATTATGTAGAGTGAGAGAAATTCTTAAATGCAAGCATCAGAATCTCTTGCTATGTATTATTAAATGTGTGCTATATCAGTTTTATGGATCTCCTTTTATCATATTTTTTTAGGAATGGATCATCTCTGATGATGTGTTAATTAATATGATATGGTCATGTTGGGAAATTATAACCATACAAATGTGGATCAATGATAATAAAAGAAGAAAAAGAAAAAGAATATAAGAATAGATAATTATAAAATTATCACCATCGATTCTTATTTGTATGATTATGATTTCTCCGCATGACATGGTTATATTAATTAAAATACATGGTTATATTAATTAAAATACGAGAGCATGCAACTGATGTTAAAACACATTAAATGCTCCAGTAGAACCTAAAAGTCTCGCTTGGAAGAAACCATTCCAATAGATTATATCAAGAAAGAAGACATGTTTATCTATTAATATATCCACCTGCTACTAATTTTGTAAATTCTTTTGGTTTCTGCACGAAAACTGCAAAAATGTGTTTGTAAACCTATCGAAGAAAAAATGTTCATAAACTAGTTTGGTTATATATTAATTAACAGGTTGTATTTGGGAAATGTCGTTTAATGCTTGCGTAGTAACTATCTTTTGGACCAATCTAAAAGCTAAGGATATGGTTAAGCTGTAAGTATCATAATGTAAAGATATATGTTAGCAGTGCACAGGAAGCCCCCACTGACTCGCCATTTAAGTATCTATAACATAATCACAGGAAAACTGCTTTCTAAAACAGAACATGGCTGAGGGAAATTATTATTATTTTTTATTAATCTGAGAATCCTCCTAGTACCACTTGAGAATAAAGTTCAGTTTTAAGGCTCTGTGATTTTGGTTGTTATAAATCTAAAGTAGTTAACGCTTTCAATATGATTTAAATGCGAGCAGGTTAGTCAAGGTTTGAATTTATTTGGTACTGATAGTTCAGGTGCAACTTAAGAGGTTGAACCTTAACGATGAGAACAAATTAGGACTATTCAACCCAACGTGAAAATGGGTTACTTTCATTGCTTCCCATTTGGGTAAATCCAAAAAGTGTTGCCTGCTCTCGTGTATTCCGTTGACTTGCATTGCATTATATGTTGGTTATATCAATATTCTATGAGGCTAATTGAAAAATAAAATCACGGACTCATATACCTCAAAGTCTATAAAAATGGGAAAAATTCAGCAGTGCTTATCTGAATGGATGACTTTGGCTCAACACATGCTTTCTTTTCAATGCCAAAAATATATGCCTCTCAGTGCGTTGATAATTGCCTATCACAATTCCAAAAATATCACAATGGTTCAGCAAGAATGCTTTTCTTCAACACACTTCCAAGCGTGGGCCACTGATATATGGGATTGAGACGGTACAGTAGCCAAAGTGTCACTGTTGAAAAAAAAAAAACATCAAAATATCACACCAACAGTAAATTTTACCAAAATATCACGTGGCATATTTCGCTACACTGTGTAGCGAAATATATGTGCAAATAATTCGTTACACGGTGTAGCGAAATATGCCGCGTCAGAATGCACAGAACCAAAAATGCCACGTGTCAGATAGGGAGAATTTCGCTACACAGTGTAGCAAAATTCTCCCTGTCTGACACATGACATTTTTGGTTCTGACGTGGCATATTTCGCTACACCGTGTAGCAAAATATTTGCACACATATTTTGCTATACAGTGTAACGAAATATGCCACATGGCATTTTTGTAAAATTTACTGTTGGCGTGACATTTTGATGTTTTTTTTTACAACCCTGGCACTTTGGCCACTGTCCCGGATTGAGACAGCTACTTATGATATCTCTGGGTGTTGTAAGTTACACGTTGCTACGAGATTGCTGAATATTTATTGTTTATCAATTTTTACAATAAACATTTTTCAATTATGAAAGGATCTGTTTATAATTTTTTTTTACAAATTATATTAATTATGACAGGTCATATATTCTTGATTAAAGTATGACCGGTCATCAGTGGCGGACGCAGAAACTTTAATAAGAGGGGGCGAAAATAAAAAATACTATATCATTGTAACGGACCATGTAGCAGACCCTACTGCTAAGCCCAGCCCAACTCGTGGCATAGAAGGGAAGCCCAAACGCAAGCATCAATTACCCAACTATCTGAAAGACTATGATACAAGCTAAAGCCATGCTGGGCTTTTAAATAACACTGGTGTTACAATGTCACATTAAGGCTTTATTTTCATGTTTGTGTTTTTACATTTAAACTGATAGCCCAATAGTAATAGGGCACTATATGTTGCATCAAGAGTGAGTAATAGTTAAGCAGAATTAATCATCTCTCTTCTACTCTTTCTCTCTCTTTCGATTTCTCTCTTTCTCTCTCTGATTCTTATCTCTTACTTCTGTCAACCGCATCTGAGTGCTACATTTGGTGCTCTCGTTGCTTACTCTACCTCCATTTTCCAATGGCTGAGAACACACGCTTGAGGGAAATCACTTAACGATTGGATGTATTGGACCAACAGACCCATCGTTTAGACGTCTTAGAACAGCAGCTCCGCTCTGCGGAATTGGTACGTGAACAACAACATTTGAACCTCCAAGAGTCCAACACCAATCTCTAGGAATCCCAAGCTCAAATTCAACAAGCTCTGCAGCGCATCCTGGACGGTAAGCACATTGGGAGTTTTGCTACGTCAGGTATCCTGGGTTCTGGACCAGGCTCTAAATCTACCGCTAGCACCTCATATCTCACTAAACAACGTCCATTTAAGCTCCTTTTCCCCATATTTTCTTCCGGTGATCCCACTTCTTGGATTTTTGCTGTTGAAAATTATTGTCAATATTACCACATAGGTAATGAAGAACGTTTATTAATTGTTTCCTTTCATTTGGACGACCCTGCTGCTTGTCGGTTTAGAGGTCTTAGTGACGAAGGTTTACTTCCCACTTGGGCTTCTTTTCTTACTGCCATCCATCGCCGTTTTGGTCCTTCCGAGTTTGAGGAACCAATTGGTACTTTGGCTAAGTTACACCAATTGGGGTCGGTTATTGATTACCAAGCTGCTTTTGAAGCAGTTGCATCTAAAGTACCTGGTTTATCAGCCACCATGAAACGTGGCCTTTTCATTTCGGGCCTCAAACCCCGTATTCGGCGTTCGGTACTCACACAGCGCCCAACAGATTGGCATGAGGCATTGACCCTAGCTAAGGTTTTTGAGGATCAACTTAATGAGGACAAATCAGCTCGTCCTTGGATCCCTCGACACCTTACTCCCACAAACACCTACCCCATCATATCACCTACATTAATCTCCCAGCCCAAACCCTCAGACATTGTACCTGCCCCTATCCCTTCTCCAACCCGAGCCTTACCCGCCATTCCAATTCGCCGCTTATCTCCCGCGGAGATGCTGGTCAGGAGAGAAAAGAACCTATGCTTTAATTGTGATGAAAAATTTGTCTACGGTCATAAATGCAAGGGACGCGCCACCCTATTGCTTTTGGAGGGCATAGAGGAGGATGAGCCTCCTGACCCTAATGAATCACCCACGGATACGGACCAACTAGGGGAGGACCATGTAGCAGCTCCCGAGATCAGTGCAAATCCAGGGTTGATGGTGGCAATACAAATCCAGGTCCTTTCGGCTGGCAGGCACCATTTTGGGCCAATCAGTGCAAATCCTTATTGATGGTGGCAGTACCCACAATTTCATCACACCAAGGGTTGCTACTCATTTACATTTAACCATGTTGGCGGTTCCCCAATTTAAGGTGCAAGTGGACAATGGGGATTCATTAATTTGCTTTACCATGTGCCAGACTGTTCCTTTGACCATTCAAGGTCACCACTTTCCTTTGGATTTGTTTGCCTTGGAACTTAAAGGTGCTGATATTGTTTTAGGTGTTCAATGGCTAGCCACCTTAGGCCCTGTTGTTACTGATTATCATAATATGACC